AAATTTATTGAAAAGATTCAAAACCTTGATATGAAATGATCGAACTATATAGATATTGATCAAACTTGAGATTTGTGAGTTAACACCGTGTACAAGCAATTAACATTAAACACACATTTCACGAACCGTTTCTTTCAGAAGTTATTGCAGTACTTTATTATTTCAGTGATTTATACCTTAAAGTGTCCATGAAATGGGCATTGTGACACCATATTGCCGCAATTAACTCATTGTTTCGTTTTCCTCACTGGCCAACTGTCACAGTCATTCAAAATACACGCTTTGATCATTTCTACGAACTTCGTGGCGCCAGCTTTCCCGCCTATTTTGTTTACTTATAATTAGTTTTTTAATCCTAATCTATTTAATTCTTATATACAATGATTACCATGATTGAAGAATTCGGTTAATTAAATGTCATTTTTATCATAGACCTAATACAATGTACATGTATGTACAAATTCATACATATGCTTTTAGTGTAAGCTCTATATTTTGGTACTTGTTAGTTAAGCAAAAAAATGTCTTAATTTGAAAAAAAAGACACACACACACACACACGCACACACACACACACACACACCTGTATAAAAGAAATACGTTGGTTTATTTCCTTAAAGCAGCATGCCACCCAAATACATACCAATTTTCATGAAAATATAGTAAAAAGAATCGAACAAAAAAAGTAATTTACACATTGCAAACAGAACTTACAATCCATGTTAATCAAACAATCAAAAAAGATCAATGCAAAAAATAGCCCTTACTACGTTAGTAACGCAGCAGAAATATGATGGTAAATACTGCAAAATAAGTTATAAATAGCACATAAGATGAAAATCATTTCTTGAATTGTGATTTTTTTACTTTTCTTAATGTCTTTGTACATTTTTCTCAAGTTTGATTTTCTTGAAATATTTTGGCTTATCTGGAGCCATGCAACTTTAAGAGCGAATGGCGCATGCTAAAGACACCCACAGCGTATGATCTTGTCCCAAAATATTTTGTGTGTGTTAAAGTAATAGAGACATTCTATGATATAAATATGTCAATACTCAATATTACATATCAGAACCAACGCACCTTAACCACTTATATTTTTTTTATAATAGAAGCATAATTTATTAGATATAACTTTATACCCTTAAAGTCAAACAACAGGTCAGTTCACAACAGTCTCTACTTAGTGCTGAATAGAAAATATTTATTGAATTCTTATCCTAGACTATTACTATGCTTATCATACATACATGTACATGATACTATAAAATACTTTACTGGTACTGAAATTGTTTTAAATTTGTTACTCCTATACAATAACTAATTTCATAATCATCTGAGCTAATTCTCCAAATTGTTTACACTGAATGAATTATTAATTTGAGCCGCGTCACGACAAAACCAACATAATGCGTTTGCGACCAGCATGCATCCGCGCAGTCTGATCAGGATCCATGCTGTTTGTTATCAGTTTCTTTACTTGTTATAGGGTTGGTAAGCGAACAGCATGGATCCTGATCAGACTGCGCGGATGCGCAGGCTGGTCTAGATCCATGCTGGTCGCAAACACACTATGTTGGTTTTGTCGTGATGCGGCTCATTTGTTATACATGTTTTCATACCAAATGTGACAAAAAGTTGTGTATAATGAAGATACATGTAAAGGTACAAGTTTAATTTTTTTCCTTATTCCCTCTTCCTTATTTCAAGATTTCATAAACACTAAAGTTTGTGTTAACTTTAACTTGTTAGTAATAAGGATCTTCAGAAACTTATCTGTATCTTTGCGAAAATTCTATGAGGTTAATACCACTTTGATAAAAAAAATCGTTCGTCTGCCCTCTTAAAAATATATATCAATCAATTTTTGAACTTAGTTTATAAACCTATTGACCCGTTGTTCTATTAAATTAAAAGCCATATCCAGCTGTCACTCTTTCGGATTTTATTTACACGTTTTTTCTTTCAAATTTGAAAGCATGTAGCAAAATTTAATTCCCTACCATTTAAAGGAGTTCGTCATAACGTCTAATAAGTGATGAGAAAACCACAGGTTGTTTAGCGAAACTTTCAACTTGGCTTAAGACTTTCACGGTTTAACGTGATCTATTTTCATAATGTACACAGTTGCCTTTCATTTCAAAACTCATATCGTTTTCTTTTCAAACGTTGTTTAAATTCCTGCTGGAAAAGTTATTTTCACAAAAGGTAACGCTCACGAGCCGGTGCTGTGGCTCATTTCATTGAAAAGTCAATCACAGATTTTTTCCGTTTGATTACACTGATATTAAAAAAATGTTTATTAGGAAAAATAATTTTGTTTACAGAGCTGTCATTTTGGGCGGTACGTTTTGGTTTCCGTAAAGCGTCAAATTATTTTTTTAAATAAATGAATTGTGCAAATTTTAGGTTGAAAAATGACAATTTTATTCTTGCTTTTATGATATATTTTATCACTCAGTAGTTTTGCAATGTTGGAAGAAAGAAATATTATTTTATAAAAACTGCACGCTTTGCAACACAGGGCATGACACTTGATTTGACATGTAATTAATTATTTATAATTCTAAATTATCACCATGAATAATTTAATAAATTGATGATACATATTGTATGGAATAAGAGGAAATAAATGATGCTATAGCATTTGATAAATATTCCCCCAATATCCGCTGGCGTAATTAGTCGTGCTAAAGGATGACAATCTAGCACGTGTTGCTATTTATAGAATTATTTCAAAATACTGTTAAACATCTGAATTGTTATTATAATAATGAAAATTCTCATTACAAAATTTCTCGTTTTTAAAGCGATTTAACTGAGTTCATCTTAAGCTGTTATCCATAATACATCATTAAAAAAACATTCGAGAAAAATCTTCGGGTAATTCCACATTTAACGTGTAAAGATATGAAAGCGATAAAATATACAGTCAATTCAATTTAGATCTAATAAAATTCATTAAAACTTTTATTGTTTTAAGAAGTCTTTTAAATTTAAGCCAAGGTGTTGTACAAAGATGAGTTCATTTTAAATCTCGACTTTAATTAATGTTTGCGACTTATGGCACGAGGATCACGTGCATAATGAATTTTATGCCATTTTTTCAAAATTTAATGAAACTTGAATGTCCATCTCGGCGCATAGAAATGTAACACGTAAACCCATCAAAAAGCAGAGACCGAGCTGTCGTGTACAATAAAATTGTTCACGGATTTGTAACATTCAAGAGCATAATAGCGCAACACTGCACAAATTAAATGTAATTAAATATATCAATAATGAAAACGCTGAAAATTAACATCCGTGCTCAAGACAATAAGACAAACTGACCTATGTCTTTATACATAGAATAGAACAATAAAATATAACAACACATATAACGCAAGCACGCACGCACGCACAAAAAACTCGCAAAAGTATAAAGTATTAAGTCTAACGATACTAAATTCTTATCTTAACCAATTTCCATATAAAAATACTTTATGGATATCTCTACGAACACATTATTCCGTATATATGATTTACATGTACCGTCAGCCTTTTTTCGAATAATGATAAGCACGTGCGCTTTGACAATTGGAAAATGTTACACATTATATTTGTATTTCAAAGTTTAAACCAGTGAAATACCTTCATGAAAAAAATACACGTTTAAATTAGGACAAGAAAGTCCGTAGAATGTGATGTGATTAAAATATATAAGCGTTCATATGTATACAATAAATGTATAATAAATATAGAATGTTATTATTATCTTCATTGATTTTTACGTTCTGTTTTTCTGGTATCAAATTTTCAGATTCAAGGTAGGTAATTAATTTAAATGTTTCATATGACTGCTGTAGTTATTTCCTCTTGTCATTTAGAGATTATAATCATCTACCCATTTTTACAATGTTTACAGTTTTAAAGTACGTTGTATTTCAAATATTATTAAAACACTAGAAATATATATATATATATATATATATATATATATATATATATATATATATATATATATATATATATATATATATATATATATATATATATATATATATATATATATATATATATATATATATATATATATATATATATATATCATTTGGATAGTTTTATAAAGTATTTCTGGATAACTGAATGTTGAAAAGTTCTAAAGTGATTTTGTTTGAACATTTACATTTATATGATGAATACTGATATTTTGTTAGTGAACACCCTATTATCTGCTGTATATTTATATGTCATATCATGTATCTAACACTTACCAACAGCACCCATTTTTAATTATTTGGTGATTTGTTTTCAGATATGATTGTGAATACTATCAACACAATTATTAATGGTATTAAAGATCTTCTATTATAGACCAATTCACTTTAAGAGTCAGCATAAAAACGGGAGTCATCAGATGTTTCACATTATTTAATACGATAACTCCTTTCATATTGTCTCAGGTAACTGTACATTTAGATTCTCATTTGCCGCCGTACAGTCGCCTACTTTTGGCTCAACATTCATATATTTGGCTAATATTCTGTGATAATTGCATTGATGTAAATTATCTTCACTTTGTGCTTCAAAAGTGACTCTTTAAGGGCATGACTGGTGACATGTCCGGGATCCGTACTCTACAGTGAAAGCTGCTTTTTGTGTCTTAACGGACTGATGGACTCTCATTAAGAATATTATACATAAATACATATATAATGAAACCATCCGGTTAGCTCAAATACGTAAAGCGTATGACTGTAAATCGGGCTATCCGAAGGCAAGTAGTACTGGTAGATTGATTGAAAGGCCACTGTCGCTGTCCGGTAACGATGCGGTGGTGGAACTGGGCTCTGGTAAGTTCGAAATGGCTTACTGCCGTGCCACTTAGGGTAGTCTTACAACAACAACACACATTTAAGATATGCAAAGGCGCCGCCAAAGTAGAACCACCGACCTTTCGTCAATATTTTTTTGGGATTAAAAGAAACAAAAAGAAAAAGAACACAGTGTAAATGGAATGTTTTATTTTAGCACATTTACATTTATTATAATATTTTCAAAAGATATGCATTCAAATTACTTTGGGTACAAAAAGAAATGTCCCTAATACGGCAATCGGCAATCTAAATAAGTAGATAATAAATATCTCATGTTCCACAGGTCTTATACCTATATAGCTTTCAACTTTTTATCTTATATTGTAACAATTATGGCAAAACTGTTCCCTTATAGAAAGCGAAATACAAGAGAATGCAGTTTTATTGCATAAATTTTCAATCGCTTCGACACCGGCTATCGTTCCTTTCGCTTTGGGTAAGAGAACGAAAGACAATTATGCTTGGAGCTAATCATGCCCTCTTTCCCGTTATTGATATGAATTTCATTTGAAATATTAGATTAATAGATATGATTCAAAGAATGACATTGTAATTTAAGTTTTGGAAAATATGAGCAAAACAATGTCTTTTACCGAAACGAAATGTAAAAGGCATTTAAACGGAATGGAATTTACTTTTGTTCGTTTAGATCAGAAATATTAAAGATTGAAAATTGTACCACCTCTCTTCATGTTTATAATTTTTGCATTTAAAGAAGGGCACACTGCACACGCGCAACAGACGTGTCGGAGATTTCCGAGATTGCACGGAACATACCGATTGCCAATATAGTAAACAAAGCAATAAAACACACCCATTAATAAATTACATGTATCAGCCGACTCATTTCATTATAACAAAACAAAAATATGTACAAATATGTACAGTACATGTACAAAATATGTACAGTAGATGTACAAAATAACAACAAATATACAAAAGATGATGAAAACTTAATTAATAAAATTGTTATTTTTTGCGGAATGTTTTCATCGAGAGTATTAGTGAAATAAATGCAATGAACATGTACAAATTAGGAGAAATACAATTGAACAGTACAAGGCATTCGAAGTATTCATTGTAAATATAAATCTAAACCCCTGAAGTTATCTTTTAAAATATTTACCTTGTAAATGATAATTATGCTCTGTAAATTTCGAAACTAATAAATTTGTTTAACGTTTAATGTGGCACATGTTTAAAAAATACAGTTAGTGACCATACAAAAATACTTGTAATTAACTTGGTCTAATGAAGTTTGATTTTTCAAAAATGAATTCACATTGAAATCATTTTCCATCAACAAAATCATGAGATAATTTACATACAATCATATAAGCGCTGCTCATAGAAAAAGACTACATATATGTATATGCTAACAATACATCGATATTAATATTGAATCTTCTTTTTCTTTTACTGTATGTATTTCATCAAAAAGAAATGCACGTTTTGTAAAGTTAAATCTTTCGTTTAAAACATTGAAAAAGATATATACGCCTGTCATAATATAGAAAAAAACAATTCCTTCTCACTAACAAAAGCTTTTTAACAATTTCTTTAAAGTCTTATAAAATTGTAAAAATGTGATGACAAAATCAATGCTAAAATCACTACTGGTAAATTTCCTAAGATTCCCACTTACTGGTATGTTCTTGATTATTTTAGATACACTTTTATACTAATTCAGAGTTATTTGCTGTAGCACGCATAATTTCATTATTATAATCACTGAGGAGTCCACATCTCTGACATACCAGACTGCGTTGGCGGTAGATGGCGCTCTGATGAGTTTGATAAAGTGTGTTGGAAATTGTTCGTGTGGCTATATTTTATTTCTTCACTCGACTGATTTCCAGGAAAATAATTATAATTGTTCCATATGTACATAGGGTATGGTGGAGGTGGCATAAGAGGGAAATCAGACGACATGGGCACGCGCTCAGATGTCGGCTGCTGACAAGAAAAATCAGGAGTTCTAGCTGTCACGTGATGTGAATGGTCCGATGATGAATGATGATTTGTTTGAGGGGAGGGACTACTCTCAGGGCTGGACTGTGACATGTCGGCCACGGACAATGGAGAAAGTGGCTCTTCATATTTAATCTGTTGATAGTCTGTCTGCTGCTGCTGCTGTTGTTGTTGTTGTTGGTGATGATGGTGTTGTTGAGTTTGGAACTGTTGTTGATACTGTTGCATCTGATATTGTTGATGTAAGTGAAAATTACTGTTCATGTACATATTCCAAGCGTTACTTCCGGTAATAAAGTCTGGGTATTGAGAATGTGACGGCTGATGTTGTGGGCTGTTTTGCGTCCCTGTTGACGTCATATGACCACTGATCTGAAGAGCGTTTTGCACAAGATTCGTCTGCTGTCCATACACGTGCTGGTGATTATCAAGAACGCTCCCGTAACCGAACTGGAGATTACCAACTGGATCTGACGGCGGTTTTGGAACACTTTTTTCCTTCTTGTTGCCATTCTTGAAGCGGTATCGACGTCTAAGGAAACTACCATGGTCGAACATGTCCTCATAATCAGGATCAATGGCCCAGAAGTGACCTTTCATACCGGCCTGACGTTCGAGCTTCATGAAGCAGTCATTCAGAGCTAAATTGTGACGTATGGAACCTTTCCAGCCTTTCTGGTTGCTATGATCAGCGTAGTATGGAAAGCGATCTGTAATATAAAAGTTTAAATGTAAAGGGAAATAAATCCAGTAGATTACATGTAAGTATGTGATAAAGTTAGCTCCCTTGTATGTAGCAAAAGTACATCTAAATCATTATTTTCTTCTTATTAAAGCTGCACGCCTCCAGATGAGCAAAATATTTCAAATAAATCAATATTAAAAAAAATGTACTACAACTTTAAGAAAAATAAAAACATTCAAGATCCAAGTTATATTGTTCATGTTATGCGCGGTTTAAGACTGATTTTGCAGTATTTTATAACCATATTTCTACTTCGTTATTAACGCAGTAAGGGCTGTTTCTTGCATAATAATTATGTTTACGACTTTTCTAGGATTGTAAGTGCCGATTGCAATATGTAAATTACTTTATTTGTTCACCTCACAATATTTTGATTTTAAATATATTTCAAAAAATTTCGTGAAAATTAACATGAATCTGGAGGCGTGCTGCTTTCAAAACTTATTTATTTGTTGCTGGTTCTAGTCTGTTGTATGTTTTGGTGAAATATCTGTAAGTATACTTGTCGGTTTTTTATAAATTAATTTGTTTTTTCTTACTCTTTTTATATTATAACTTTTTTATTCTTATTCGTTTTCCTTTTTAGAGGTGGGGTGCGTTTTACGTCAAATTGAAAGGTGATATGGCGACTTACACGATGCTGTAACTGTCTTATTTTATCAAAACAGAAATCTTTTTGTGCCAATATAATAAGAATATGATCTATATCATTCATATGGATAAACTATGGCTGTCCGGAAAGTTCTTATAAAATAATAATAAGCAGTCACATCAATATGATTTTATATTTTGCTAAATTATTTATTTCCTACATATTTCTAAATTAAAAACATGAGAATCGAAATATTCGTACATGCTTAGATTAACCTCTACCTTGAGGAAAAACATTGGTATTTGTAAGCAGATAATATGCATAAATTAGAATATGAACATTTCATTATATGACCCAGGAAAGTTATTGGAAATTTAATGAAACAAAGAGCCTATTATTATCTCCCTTTGTTTTCCTTTAAAGGTTGCTAGCAAAGTAATACAACAATTTACATGCCGACAGTGTCATTGGAAATTAAAATGTATCCTAAATTCTATTTATATATAGATACTTAAACGAACGTTTTACCAATTTCAAATAGTCCAATATATACAGAGCCTTTAAAATGAGAACTTACTTATTTTTAGCTCAGTTGTGACGAAAGGTTATAAAAATTGAATTTCTCTCCTGTTCTGACCATTAAACTTATCAAGTCTAGTTTCATATGAGGAAACGGGGTCATGACCCAGGAAGAATTCGAACTCACGATAGCAGGTATTACTTTCAGACACCTAACCTATTATGTCACCGCCCAAGTTTCGTTTTATAAATTAAAACTTATTTAAAGTCATAACTGCATATAATTATGTTGCGTAATTTTAGATGTTCGTGACATTCACTAGTTTGTGACCTTTAACTTTTGTCTGCTGGATGCGACTAGACCTACCGATGTACCCAGTGCACCATAACCAGCCAGTCCTTATGAGCCGTCTGATCATGGTCTGCACTGTTCGTTTTTCAGTCTATGTTCCCATAAAAACCATGAATAGTTTTGTCCAGACTAAATCAATAGATTTTCCGGACTAGATCATTTTAGATATATTAATTAACTTATTAAAGATAAACTATGCTCAAATTTCATATTAGAAAATACTGATAATTTTATATTTACAAAGAGACTGTGTAGCAATTAACATTTTTTGGCTTCACATACTGTAGATATGTTCTGTTTTAATCACTACACACTACTGGTGGTCACAATTGGAATATAAAGTGTCATTATAGAAAACACTAACAGTTTTTTTTTAAGAAAAGACGAACTTTACTTGAACGCAGCTTCACATACAAAGTTGACTCATTCTTTTTTTTATAAAAAAGAGACATATTCAGTAATAATTTCATAGATTTCTTTTAATTTTTGTGATCAAAAATATTTTACTGAATGATGAATATCTTAAAGCAAAGTAAAGATTAGGATTAGAAAAACCTACCAGTAATAAACTTGTAAATGTCGTTAAGTGTAGCTCTCCGTTGTGAGGAGTTAGCAATGGCCATGCTGATCAATGCTATATAGCTGTACGGCGGCTTTCCCGTCGGGATAGGCTTCTTTCTCTTCCTCGACTTAGTTGGAGCGTCAGAGGTTAGTTGTTGGGTGTTATTATTGTTGTTTTCGTCAGGATTTGAGCTCGAGACTTCAAATTCAGCAGAGCTTTCTGAAATTAGATTTATTAAAACGTGCATTATTTTGATAGTAAAAATATTTACCCATTTATACGTTTTTATGTCAAACATTGATTACTTGACTATATTGACATTTATTATATAAAATATTGAACTATGTTATTTCAGATGTCCTGAAAGGTTGCCTTATTATACCACAATATCATCATCAAAATTTTATGTTAAACTCCCCTTGATATGTATTCCGATCAATATCACCCTTATAGAGAAAATTATCCAGAGATGTTTCTCTCGAACCTGTTATATCATGAGAAAAAAACTCTGATCGGGATGACGGTCAAAGATGATCATTGTCAATCTTTAAAAATCTTTAAGTTTGCATGGTTTTAGAATTTAATAGAATAAACATTTTAAGCAAACTCATTTCGAGTCATCTTTACTATTATACTATCAGTTGAATAGCTAATTCCAATGGTAGATTAACCACAGTCAAACTTAGCAGGTCTTATATTTTCTTTTTTTCAGCTGACTCCGTTTTATGCAAACTTTCAAGTATTGATTAACAGTAGGAACCCAAAGTTTACGTTTAATTGAATTCTGTGTGACAACAACATCACCAATTGTAGAAATAATGTACTTTGTCAGACGTATGTCTAAGTTATCTGCCTTTGAAAGTAATACGGATACGGTATATAATTTTATGCTGGGTATTGTAAACAAGTTTTTGTTGTTGTTTGTTTCCAAATATAACCAGTAAAAGTAAGAGTAAATTCAGAGATATAAAAGTAAACAGAACATTATTTATATACTTATTAAATGTATTATGGTAGAAACCGAAAGTACAAAATGCCAACCTGTTATTTAAAAAGTCTACATAATTCAGACTGTTGCTAAAAGTATGATATAGAAATTAAGTAAATAAACTTTTCAATCATTGATAAGAACTGAAGTAACGATGATAAACGTAAAAGTTACTTTTTATTAATATAGATCTTGAAAAACAACACATATACAAAGAATACATTAATTTCTGTTGTTGTTGCTGTTGTTGTTGTTGTACATGTAAAACAAGAGCTTTGTTCTAGTATTTACTTATCTATAATATATTGTTTGGTGGCATATAAACGAATAAATTTTTATTTCTTTAGAAATAGCAAATAGGCAAACATGATTATCGATTATGTTTAAATAATGGTGTTTGATTATAGAACATGTAAGATGCTTGTTACATATAAAAAATAAGCACTTAATGTGGAAAGATCGTTATAAAGTAGCAACATGTAAACAGAGAAGTATTTTGACTGGTGAGGATTAAAACTAAAATCATGTGGGGCATAATGGGCCTTTAAGGATAACTAATGAATAACAGCATTTCTTAGTTCGGGGAAAAAAGCATTTAATTTATAATTTCTAATTTTTGTACATAATGCAAATTGTTATTGGCGACAAGTTAACAAGAAAACCCGGCAACTGTTTTTTTTTTAAATGCGCGGGAAAAATCGGAAAATATGCTTTAAAGAAACAAAACGTTAATATAAAAAATTTGCACATAAGTAGTTAACCTTCTACAATGCAAAAAGTGCACTGTTACTTCCTGCACAGTATACGCGGCATAGTATACAATAAAATTATTTGCAAATTATTATAAATATTTATATATCCACGGTAAATGAGGCTTAATTATAATAAACTTACATTCGATAAGCGGCATTAAACATATTAATATTCTCTTCCTTTCTTTTTTTGGGGGGTGTGTGGGGGGGGGGGGGGGGCGGTGCTATTTTTTCAAATTGTTTGTCCAACATTGCTTTGGCAGACAAAAAAATACCGGAAATTTACCTAAATTATTTCTTATTTGGTTCATTTTGGACCCCCCTAAAATGACTTTACTTTTGGCAAGGGAGGTAAAAGTTGTACAAAATGGGAACCCATCCATATATATCTGCCACTTTTCCTCAATTTCAACTCAGATCATTGCCAACCATTAAATAGACATATTTGTTGAATGTTGATATCGATTTTCATAAGCAGATTAATAGAATGTATATATGCCTCATAGTAGGTTATTACGTCATCGCGCACCTTTAGAATGCTTCCAATTGAGTTTTACTGCCTAGTTTAGTCCTGAAAACGGAATAGGTTTTTTTCCCTAAATGCTCCCACTCGGACAACGTAACAAAATTTACCCCGTTTCAGGCGGAAACCAGACAGTAAAACTTTTAACTTTTTTTTAAAAAATTAAATCAAGTACTAAAGCCAATCTTTGGCGCGCTACTTTATTATTTTAAAATTCTAGCGATTTCTAAGAATAAATTTTTTTTTTATCTCCGAGTCGACAAAAAAGTCCGATCCAGAGCATTTTGCAGGTGCGCGATGGAAAATTATAGTATCCTACCATTAGTTTAGTCCTGAAAGCGGAATAAAGTTCTTTTTTCCTAAATGCCCCAACTCGGAATCCCAAACAAAATTTATCCCGTTTTTCATGCTTAAACCAGGACGGTAATACTTTAAAACTTAAAAAAAAAATATATCAAGTACTATAGCCAATCTTTGGTGCGCTACATTGATATCTTTGATATTCTAACCATTTCTTAGAATGAAACATATTTTATCTTCAAGTTGACAACAGTCCGATTGGACAACAACAATAATAAAAAAATTCTATAACATGTATTTAACTAAACTTTAAATATATATCAGATGATTTTTTTTCTTCCATATTTTAGATGTCAAACTTCAGGCGTTTGTTTGCTTTTTACTAAAAAGGTTGGGAAATAATTGAATCAAAGGGAAACGAAAATGTTATTTGTATTCAGGTATTATTGTTCCAGTAGCAATCAGGGCGGACTATGAGACAGGACAGACCAGTGATTCCAGTTTAGAAGACGTGGTCTTTAGGGCAGGGTCAATACATAATAATATATAATATTAAAGTAGAACGACCCTCTTTAGCACTAGATGAGTATTACATAATGATTTTCAATAAGCATATCGTGCGTCAATTATTATTATTACAATCTAAACTTGTACATAAGAATTGTTATAGCTGCATTCAATAAAATGTTGCGATTTCTTTCCTTTAATTACACATGGTTACACTATAATATTTTTGTCGCAATCCTAAAAACTCAAAATACATTTACTGTATGTTTCATATTCAATTTAGTTAAATATTTTCCCTGAACTTGCATTTGTTATTGCGTATATTTGTTCCCATATACAGCAATTCAATTTCAATTCAATATTTTATTTGCAATAATCGGCATACAAAATGCCTTTGGCAAAGGTTAACAAACTACAATATATACAAATCACACATGCATCAAATGACAAATAATTGTTATACAATTGTTATATCATTGCGAAGCTGATTTGGAGAAACAGTAAAGTATATGACATGCATTAACTTACATATTAATTTCATTTCTTTTCAAAAATGCTTCATTTAAAAATTTCGATACATTCAGTAACGTTAACTGTTTAGCAAAGCATACATTTAATTACAACATGTTTCTTTATATAGATTGGGAAACCAGAACTTAGCAAATTTTACTTTTAATTCTATTTTTTCCTTTATATTACAAAACAGATTAACAAAAAGACTTTGGATTTAACTGATTCAATAGTTCTAGTGAAATACTCTATTATTACCTCACAGGTATTATGAAAATATATATTAACAACTCATAACTTACCTAGGCGATCATCATTATATGAGCTATCACCTCTACTTGTATTAGGAGAAATTCCATGAATGTCTGTTTTTCTGTCCGTGCACGAGAAGTTACTGTTGATATCACGGGCTATAGACAAAGCGCTATGAACACAATCAAAGTTCGGATCCATATTTAACACAAAAATAATACTTCCTTTGTATGATTCAAAATTGAAATGAAAACAAAACTTAATGTTTATAAAAACAACTTTTCTTCAAATAATTTCTATAAAGAAAAACTAGGATGTATGTTCATCAAAAGTTACCGTTGAACTGTTTACACAAGAGATTTGTGGTATACAAGTAAACCCCGCTTTGCACGTGCAAAAGGAAGCCAAAGTCTAGCGCGCGTGAAAAGCATTGTTTAAAATCACCGTGCATGAAAATAGTTATTGTTCTCAAATAGAATTTGAGTAATAACGGGGTCATTTTCGCCAGTCAGTGTTAAAAGGAGCGGTCATTCTCAAAGAAAGAGTAAATGTATTTAATTCTGGTCAAATTCCCTTCCTATTGTTTTCATGGATTAAGCATCTTTATGTTAATTGACCGTTTTAAGATTATCGTTGGATTAAGTCCTTGTTTGTATAACCTTGAATTGAACGTGTGAAAATATGTACACACGTTTCCCTTGCATAAATGTCGGCTCTATTACTCAATTTGGAGCAAAATATTTTGTAAAAAAATACTTTTCGAAAATAATAGATTTTATTTTTACATAAGTAATTAATTTATAAAAAATATTTCTGTTTAATTAGGAATGAAAATTTGATCATGTCCCGGAAATGTTAATAAAATGTGAAAATAAACGCAAAATGAGCCAAATGCAACGTATATTAATATCTGAACCATTAAATTGTTGTACTTTTGAAAAATATTAATATAAATATAATTTGGTAAAACTAACTTTAAGATTTTTTAATGTAATAAATGATGTGATTTATTTATTTACTTACATCTTTTATACGTAATTGTTTTTGTAATTTGTTAATTAAGAGAGTCTCTGAATGAAGTACTACCTATAAAACTATTCTTAACCCTTTCACTGCCATAGGGACGGCTTATGCCGTCCATGTTATTTTCCATGGTTTTAGCCGTTTCTATAATAATAATAAATTAATAATAATAAAAATAATAATAAATATAAAAAAAATTATACCATCGACATTAATTATTATTATACTCACAGATTTGGAAACATATATAATTATTATAATACCAATAACAAATAATAATAATTATATTAATAAATAATATAATAATTTCTTAGAAAATAGGTGATCAATAAAACAATAACCCTCTGGCAGCGAAAGGGTTAATATTGTGAAATCTGCTATTTTCCTATATATTACTTGAAGAAGTTTCAGAAAATACCCTTTTTTGTATTTGTTCGTGTTGAAAATGATGATATATTTGAAGATGATTTTTTCCATAACAAATATGATGATGATGCTTATCAGATTATGATAATTCTGATCGAGGTCGTAACGATTTTAAAGTCACATTATGAGGCAAACATTTATACCGTATACAATGGTTTTAGAGCCTGTTAGATGCTAATTACAGGAAGGAAGTATTACGGAATGTGGAATACTTTGTCATAAAGATATCAAAATTTAAACATTGTAGTATTTTAACTTTCATAAAACCATAAAAAATTCTAAACTTCAACAACATCAACAACATTTATTAAGCGTTAAACGCCAATATCTACAATCATATACTGATGTGGACTTGGTTTATACAGAATTTATTTTAGTTCGATTGTGTAGGAAGCTATTAGCTTATAAACACACTTTCGATGTGGACTTGACATGAAGCTATAAAAGACAAAACATACAAAATAACTGTACTATTTGCAAAAAAAAAAAAAAAAAAAAAAATCCCAAGAAACAACAGATGATAAGATGGTTTAGGTAATTGTCTAATGAGTAACTTTCCAGAAACTATAAAAGTTCACAAAAGTAAAAAAGCCTTTGAGAAATAAAAATTATAGCATTTCTGGTTAATAATGGGCCTTTTATTACAATTATAATTATAATAATAATGATTTTGGTGATGATGATGATGGTAATGGAGGGATAAGGATTCTAATGATAATGTAGGTGATGGTGATAATGAAGACGCTGGAGGTGGTGATGAATTTGATGATGATAATGATGATGTAGAAAGAATCCAAAGTCCCTGTCGGGATTCGAACCCAAAGCGGTGAGGGGCAAGTTGTTTCAAATGTTGTGCGAACCATGTCAAAAATAAATATGACAGTAATGTCAGACAGAAATCCTACATTAGATTCTGTCTCTGCACATGTGATCACAAATATTCCCAAGTAAAGGTATATCACTATATATAATTTAAATATACTTAAGGTCATATTGCACACAATTTTCAAGATGCGTATTCCCTTTTCATCACAGAATATTGAAATATGATGCACTGAGAGAAATAAAAAAAATTAAAGAATTTGAATTTGAACCTGTAATTACAATGTACATGTACTTTGCAAATAGCAATATCTTCGCTCTAAGACGTGTTTGTTTTTTAGATCTATAATGTATTTGCAAATGTTTTTATCGATGACGTTATTAATATGTTATATACATTATTGTTGTATTTAGAAAGTATAAAACAATGACATAGTTATTAGATACATTTAGTTATAATGTCCCTTTTTGTCCAATGGCTGGCATTGTAAAATCTACATGTGAAAATTAAAATATATATGAACAGGAAGACGGACAAAACCCAACACGTTCAAAATCCCACACGTCAAAACCCCACACATGAATTTTTACAGAGTGGAAAAACACACCTATAATCTTATAGAGTGGAGATAGCCCCACACTTTTTACAACTAATTAATATAGACTTTAAGACAATAAAATAGCTGACACTTAGAATAATTAATATTGAGGTGTGGGGTTTGAATGTGTCGGGTTTTGTCCTACATTCATAATATGTCGCAGCTTGAACTTTGCGCATTCACCGAGCATTGTCTTTCTCAAATATCGATATTTCTATATTCGTCTGTTTTTCGTCTATTGGTTTCTTCAAACGTTTAATCCTTCAATTCAAAGAAATGTTATTTTAATCTTTACACCATGTGCATATTGCATATACTTTTCACACACAATCATTAATTTATTCTATATTTTTATCAAATATGGACGAACCATCATTTCCCAAACAGTAAATTGCTAAAACTTTCAGTACGACAAAAATTAAAAGATCTGTTTATTAACGAATGGTATGCTAATGTAGAAAACTCTTCTAAGGCTAGCTTCTATAAACTTTTTAAATGCAAATTTGAAAGAGAATCATTTTTATCCTTGCCAAAGTCAACAATTCTATATTCATTGATACGATTTCGTACTCGAAACCACCATCTTCCGATAGAAATCGGAAACTGGGCAAGAATTCAATTAAATGATAGACTATGTACGTCATGTAATAAATTAGGCGACGAATTTCATTTCTTATTCGAATGCAAAATCTTTGAAAATGAGCGTAAACGCTTCTTAAAACCCTATTATTTTAGAAGACCAAATATAATCAAAACATCTGAATTAATGAATACTAACAATAAACAAGAACGTCTCAAATTAGGTAAATTTGTTAAGTGTATACTAAGTAGAATTTAAGGCATTGACCACTATGTAATAATTATAATATCACTTTCTTTTCTCCGAATATCAAAAATGCTGCAAAGTCTCTGTTTCGTTTTGGGAGACCTAGTGGCACACATTTATAGTATCCCGCATTTCAACTAGACCACAGATCTTTGATTTTTCTAAAGGAAAGGTCAGAAGAAGTTGTCTAGGTTTAGAAATACTAATTAACTCCACTTTCGTATCTCAATATCTAATGCTATTTTTCACATTATGAAAATATGTTATTTCTATCTACATTATACAAAAGAGCTATTTTTTCCTCTTTGGGCCTATGATATAGCCTTTCGCTAATTAAATATTGTAAGATCGTGTGGGAACTGTGGCCTCCGACACCTTTGTATAGGACTCACCGTGAAGTCGGGGGTACTCCTGTCTCCGACCGCCATTGGAAGTCGAGGGACAGGAGTGCACCTGGCACGGCCTGGGGCGCGTTTCATCGCAGGAAGACCTTATTGGAGCTTCCATGCCCCAGGTCGTGCTCTGATTGAGTTCAGGTCCACGATAGGGTAGACGGAGACCCCGGTTCCCGCCGATCAGAAAGTTTTTTCTAGATCATATTCAAATTCACTCTGCATAACCAAACACTTGAATATTACCTAAACACTTTAACTAAAGGGAAGTAAATGCAACAACATCTACGTACAAAGCCTTTTTTGTTATCTCCCCTCATCTACTATTCGCATCTCTATACCATAAACTTTTTAAATTTCTCCTTTTATACCTTAAAAATGATTCGTATGGTTACTTAAATTTTTGTAGTATATTCATTTACGTTAAAAATATTGATTGTCGTTACGACTATTGAGCAGTTATCGTCAATTTAATACTACACATTGTTGAAATAGAAAGTATACATATGTGTGTGTGTGTGTGTGTGTGTGTGTGTGTGTGTGTGTTGGTGTGCGCGCGCGTGCGTGTGCGTGTGACGAGAAAAAATGAAAAAATACCTTTGAATGTAATACTTAGCTTTCTTTATTATTTAATATGTTTGTTT